ATTTAGCTAAATTCTTTTGCCAAGAACAACCGAGTTCCGGGCAATTGGTTCAGTTTTTCGCAATCAAAGTGTTTTCCACAGTTTCCAATTACTTTTCCATCCATGTGATAGTTTAGTCAGACCCTATGATGGTATGGCTCTAGTTTCGTGGTTATCAAATCATGAGTCGTTTTTGCTTCTCGACCTTTCAAACGTCTACCACCCAGGGTGTGGTGCCCCGGTTGTCTAAACAAGTAATCAGGGGACGCTGTTTGGTGACTGCGATGATGGTGGAAGAATTCCTCGTTCCAGCGGCAAATGTGTTTCCTCAGAAGTTTTGCAAAGTTTGGCCACAAGTCGAGCCGACTGCCGGGGAGGCTACTTTTGGCATACGTGTTTCTCTGTTTTTGAACTGTGTTCATTGCAGTTCATCGTTTTTGCAGTAGTCCTTCCAGTATCTACTGAAGCGTCTGGAAGCTCCTCCTGTGTTACAATGGTTGCATTTCATTGCTTTCAGTTTTTCTTTGTTAGAGGGGCAATTTTTAGGGCTCATCCGGTAAGGGGGGGGGCATTGTGATGCAACGTCAAGTGGCTGCCCTCACCCCCACCCCCTAGACTGCCTTCACTCCCCCTGGCTCACGGGGTCCCGTACTTCGAGAAACCTGTGCGCCAGGGGGAGTGTAGGCAGTCTAGGGGGTGGGGGTGAGGGCAGCCACTTGATGCCCCCCTTACTGGATGAGCGCCAATTTTTATCATTAACACCAAAATCTTTACTCATAATCCACTAAAACCCAAATTCATTAGAATGTGATGCATGCTGATCCGTATAACCTTTGCCAGAATCTTGGTGAGTCTCAGTAATTGATTTCTGGAAGACCAAGTTGCAAAAGTCGTGAATGCCGAAAGTGCAACTTCAGGCGTTCCATTTATGGCAGGTGTAAGCAATGAATAAATTTGCCACAGTGCTGAGAAAATTCCCATATACACAGAGTATAGAAGAATTATCATAAATGACATTTCTGCCGTTGCTAACTTATGTTTATTACTATTTAATAACACTGATCCAAGGTACATCTGCGCCCAGTACCTGCATTTCCAAAGTTGTACGCGAAGGGTCAACGACAAAATTGAATTCAGAGCCATGCACGTTTGTGAGAATATTCTTGCACATCTCTTCATTATGCCTTTTCAGAATCAATCGGGCTCGATCAGATCCAGCCATACATCAGATGTCTATGCACATGATGACTGGTAGTGGTGGCCCTATGATGTTCCCTCACCAAATGCAGGTTGGCGTTTTCTTTTGATTGAAATGCTTATCTTCAGCTTTTCATTTCTTAAATTTGATGCATAGTTTTCTAGATACTTGTTTAATAACAATAGTTGGGCCTTTTTTTCTAGTTGTGCTAATAGCACAACTCAATAATTTCGCAGTCTCATTCTTGTTAATGCCACTAAATGAACTCTTAGGGCGCATGCATAGTCGGTCGTCCGACAGCAACGATCGTAACTGTCGCACAGCATTAGATGCGTATCGATCGTCAGACTTGCCTGAGTATTCGACGATCGATACGTATCTAACGCTGTGCGACCATTACGATCGTTGCTGTCGGACGACCGACTACGCATGCGTCCTTAACTGTATTATGAAAGAACCTCTCCCGAGTTCGTTGGACTTTTTCCGAGAAATTTATACTCTGAATGAAGAACAATGGGTGCCCGACAGGAGGCCCGTCGCGCGGCAAGAAGGCAGAGTCAGCGGACGAGTCGCAGCGCGTACTGTAGTGATTTCGCGTCAAGTTAAAAGAATGTACCATTGTACGTCCTACATCGCACAGCACGCTGCGACTCGTCCGCTGACTCTGCGCGACGGGCCTCCTGTCGGGTACCTGGTATCCGAACAGCAATGCATAAGCCTTTGTACATCCCCTGGATGGGTGTCTTCCTCTGCCGTCTGTATATTTCGGAGTCATCTTGTGAAAAGCAAATCTATTATAAAGCTCAACTGCTGTACTATTGAACAAACTTACCTTACATAGCTTATCTTTTCGAAATAGTGACTCTGCTTCTCGTCTTTCGCTGGAAATTCCCCCGCTGTGCTTTCCCGATTAGGTGCAAACTTTGTAACAAAGATCCCTCATACTACTTTATATGTTCCCCCCTCTTCGACCTCGTTCTGGCTGCGCCATGCACTTGGCTTCCGATCAGAATTCGAGGAATGTGTATGGTTTTGTACAGTATTTGGAGAGATAGCCTAACATTAGACTTACATAGAGGGACAAAGGTTGTGGTAATAAGACATGATAGAGATATAGATGAGGTATAGTTCTATTTATTTCAAGCATCCTCTGCATATATGTCTTTCCTTCGTGCCGTTTCTCCGGAATGCCCCGAAAGCGTCGAGGTGTTCATAATAATCACTTGACTAATCCTGACCCTTATCATGAGGAGTGATATATCATTAAGCACTTTATTCACTTGCTTGGTTGCTTGGTGGCCACAGGCGTTAGGGAACCACCGATGGAATCCCCGCATGCTGATAACTGAATACCGATTCCGACTGTATTAGAGCAGGCTACTGGTCTACGGGCTTTGAGCGCTCAGCAATTAGTCGTCTCCTCCTCCCTTCCTTTTCCTACCCCTCCCCACAAAACTTACTTGATTTACTAGGTATTCCGTATGTTTTGCCAATTTCAGTGAAGGGTTCTTTTGTTAACTATTATTCACTCCTGCATTCCCACTACTGATTAATTTTTTTCTGTGTTAAAACTTTCCGGAAGTGGTGTAGTGGCAAGTGGACGCTTACCACGCGCATTCCGGGGATCGAATCCTGGATCTTGCTTCGCTCGGGCCAATCAAGCCTTCCATCCCTCCGGGATCGGTTAGTTGCTACCAGATTTGTGCCTGGAGAGGATCAAACGTCACTACGAGTGTACAAATAGAAGGAGAATGCGTGTACTTTTATTCTCCTTGTTCTTCAAAATTAGTTCCAGAACCATTTGATTCTAGTTAGTGGAAGTTCCTGCTTATGGTTTCGAGTTTTGTTCAGGGCTTGTATTAACTTATATAATATATTATTTGCATTGAAGACTTCTCTGAGATATCGATTCCAGGCTGGCCCAAGTGGGTTGGGGCAAATGATGCCGGTAGGACCTCAGTGTTCAATGCCCAACAATATGGTGCCTCAGCCAGGTACGTCTTATTGAAAGTATCATAAAGAGCGTAATTTTGTGATTTCACCCGTGCCAATCTTTGACTGTGAATTTGCGAAAATTTTGTAGTGACTTCCTTTTGAGCACCCAACAAAATAGGCTTCTTTGCATCCGCGGCGTATCCGTATATGGGCAGCAACGATGTATGGCCATCATCAGGGCCAAACGCGAGGGGCGTACGCTCTTCTCTTTCTGGCAGAACTAATCCTATCTTATTTCGTGGTAGAGCTACCTTCATCTCATTTTCAAGAGATTTTTCCAAGGACGTGAGGGAGGGATTGGCTTACCCCACTCGCTGCAATTAGTTTCGCCTATGTGTGGAATTCCAACACACACGCGCTTCAGTCGCTCGACTGAGTCGCCGACTATGGACGTAACCTCAAGAT